TCCAGCACATCGACCCTTCTGCCCAGCTTGGCACTGTCTCCAAACTTAGCGAGGGTGCACTCCATCCCCTGGTCCAAATCTTTAATAAAGACGTGAAACAGGAGTGGCCCCAGCACTGAGCCCTGGGGGACACCACTCGTGTCTTAACGGGCACTTATCTCACATCTGAAAGCCTCCAAATCCATGACAGGGATAAATTTCCTTTACCAACAGCTCAGATATTCAACCTATCTGTACAGTACTTTCCCTTGTGCTTAAGCTACGTGTTCTTTTTAGTTTCTCATTCCTGTGGAGTGGGGGTTTCTTGCCTTTTTTTAACACACTTCTTAACTTATTTTGCTTCACTGCAGATTTAATGAACATTTTGCGTGTGTCCCTGGAATATTTTTTAAATCCAAGAAGCAAAAAGTATCACAGAGCAGAAAAGTTTAAATTGAATCTTCCTACTGGTTATACATGGAAGGAACTCATACTACAGTGATGGGGACAATTATAAAAAAAATTAAAATATACCTGAAACTCAGAATTTGTACAAAGGCAAGAAATGCGTGTATTAAAATAACACCTTCTATTCAACAAATCTACTCAATTCTATTCCACGTATTTATTCAACAAATTCATATTTTAAAAGTCAGAGCTGCTAACAAAATTATAGCTGTATTGCCACTGAGTTTTCTCAGTACCGCAGAACCCTTGCAATTCGCCTGTGACAACAAAAAACCTATGTCATGATAATGAAATTTTTAAATAAATGCAAAATCATTGCTCTAGTGATGAAGTACCAAAGCCACACCTTGTTCATCATCAGACCCTAAAGTATATGGGAAATAACTACGGGAAAGCTCTTTGCCAACACAGGTCCAGTTTTGTGGCAGCACTGATATCCATTTAAATTAATTAAACCAACAGTTTAACAGGGTGAGGATCAGTTGAATTTACTGTTTTCTGGTTTTGCTAAAAGCAACTAAAAACCCCACTCGCTGAATTTTGGTCTCAAACTTCTGATTTGTAAACTCTGGCAGCACATGTCTATGTCATTGATCTGTTGTGGGGAGTAATGCACTCAGCTCTGCTGCAAAATCTGAGAAGCAGGAAGCATTTTTCAGCGCGCTCTGAAGATCCGTTACACGCATTTTCTTCAGTACCGCCGGCAGAACTGGTAACAGTCTACTTGACCTTACGCTTCTGGTTTGTACTTCCGTGATCACACACAGAATAAACTGGTATTAGAGGATGCATATGCATTTTAATCTAAGCAAGATTAAAAGATAAACAGAAAGACAATTAAGTCTGGCCCTGAAAATAATTGTTATTCGATGAGGTATTAATTTTGCTTCCCACTAGAGGCCACTGTTATGCTGCAGTGAGCCCCTTGAGGAATAGCCAGAGGAACAACATTCCCTTGGGCATCTCTGCCTATTTATCTGACAGGTACATATTAAATAATAACCTTTTTTATAAATGGCAAATTCTACGGTTTTTCCAGATAATCATGCATGTTGCATAATTCGTGCTCAACACAGGAGGGATGGAGCAGACCCCCAGCCAGAGCGAGGTCCCAAGTTAGCTCAGGAGGAGGATCATGTCTGAAAGGGGCTGCATTTCTGTAGGGCTGCCACTGCTAAAGGTCGAACGTTTTGAACACCGGGATGATTTCATCATCGATCAGAGGCTACCTGTATTTTCGACCTTTCTTCCACAGGAGAAGCAGCGAGGCAAGTGCTCTCTCTTCCCCTGTCTTTTTGGCCAAGGAACCATGAAGAGGAAAGATGTCAGAGGGGGAAACATGAAATATCTGACAGGGTGGCTGGCAACACAGGGGTAAGGTAAAGAAGAACCAAACCAGTCAGCATAGAGCATAGTGGTGTGGAAATAAATGGGATTCTGTGCAAGGGAGGACTGATCCACAGGGACAGAGTTTAAAAGGTCAAGGAAACGAAAGAGAAAGGGTTAACTGCAGGACCTGATCCTCAGTACACCTAAAAAACCTCCTTCTTCTGCACAGGGACAGCAGGTCGGTAAAGGTAACTGCTTCTGCGCTGGAGGGTTTATAGCACCAGTGTAACATAAGCACACTCGCCTGAGGCGTGGAGGGGGGTCCTTTTGGTGACGTGGTCTTTTACAGTGACAGAAGCACCCTGGCTGATGAGAGCTTCCACGCACTCTGCATGTCCCTTGAAGGCAGCCAGGTCCAAAGCGGTGCGTCCCTTCTCATCCTTGATATCCAGATCTACCAGGGATTGGAGAAGTACCTCCAAGGCTTGGTGATGACCGTTATAGGCCTAAAACATGAAATGTGTTATGTAAGAATGCAACTCTTAGCTCTCAAAGGCTTTCATATAAAACCTGAATAAAATCCATCACCACAGTCTCCTAGAAAATAGAAATCACACACTTTTCTTGATTCCTTATGGCTCTCTTCAACCTGAAAGGATTTTCCCAAATTATACTGTAGCTAAGAACCTAAAATATTCCTAGTGTTTAAGAACAGAAATTACGATTGTTGATTTGCTCTAACAAATTATGGTTATTGATTTGCTCTAATCTGCTAATAGAATCCAAGGTGAGGAATTTCAGGCAATAATTTGTCAGTTCAGTAGAGGCAAACCAACAACCCAGTGGGTAGCCCCAGGAGCTGAACACATTTCTCTCAGCTTTGCAGGGACTGCCCTTCTCTCCTTACTGTCAGACTCACAGAGAACCTCCTTTTATTTGTACACGAGCATATCTGATTTGCAGAGTTGAAGCAATTAATGAAATCAGACGGGAAAAGCAAACACAAAGGAACCAGCGCACCACCGAGTTTCAAGGTTAAGTAGTGGTGGCAGCAGCTTGCTCTTGGTGACCATGGCCAAAAGTTCAGAAGAACAGAGCAGTGCAGGGAAGGGCTGTTCCCCAGTTAGACCAGTTTCTGTGACACGCTCCCAGGGTGGTGCTGGGGTTTAAACACGCTTCCCCTCACCTCGCTGGGTACCAGACAGCTTCGTGCGCTCTGCACTTCTCCAGGAGAACACCAGAGGCTCAGGCTCCAGCCCCAAATTAATAAACTAGTTGTAAAAAGAAGTTGCAACTTTCCATTTAATTCCATTTCAGTATCTCTGCCCGAATGACCCTCAGTGGTCTGGGTTTTTAGCTAAACCCAGGAGGACATATTCTTACCCAAATGTTGGAGTCAATAAGAAAGAAGAACTTCAACTGCCAAAAACTCAATTAATGATTCCAGCCCAGAACCTATTTTTGTTTTATCTAGGCCTACGTACTTTTGCAGCTTTTTCAAAATACGCCTATGATTAGACTTGCTTTAAAGACAGAGATTAAGGGATTATTTTAGGAGATACTGATCAAACTCTTTACACATCTCATACTTACAGCTAAATGCAAAGGACTTTTTGTAGCTGCAGAATCAGATTCCTCAAACACGTTGTTCGTTTTTTCCAGAAGCTGAAAATAATTAAAAACAACAACAACAACAACAACAAACAGTCTTAAAACATCTTTGCGTGAGTCAGGATAAGTTCTCATGGATTATAAATCAGAGATTTATTCTGTCCTCGGTGTCCACATTGACGAACTGTGTGCAATCAATATTTCACAACCTTTTCTGTAATGTATTTTCAAGTTTTTTTCCCCACAGGGTAAAGTTATCACACTAGCTTAAAAGCTTGTCATGAACATCCTGACTGAGATTAATTAGTTTCCATGAAATCATAGGGCCTGCCTGGGTGAGAAAAGAGCCCTTGGAAGGAAGGATTTGTTGAGTAAGTTTACACTGGAACAAGCACAGTTTCACGACTACGCATGTGAGGCGTACGCAAGCCATCTCTGATCCAGTGTTTTGGATAAATCTGACACATAATTAGCCCTGGGAGTAATTATAACTGAGCTGTGAGTCATTCGCAGTCATTTTTGTAATTTATCAAAGTAGAATCCACTCCTATAATGACAGTCTAACGAAAGGCGACACATCCTTCAACTCTTACAAACATCTTGTAACGTGCATCGTATTTTTATATGTTCCTCTTCAGTTCAAGGGATCCCAAAGCATTTTAAGGCTTAAAACCCGGGGCGGTTCTGTCCATCCAGTAGGAGGGAATACAGATCAGCACCACTTCATGATAGCAACGTGCACCCCGACACCTTATCCAACTGAGGCTGCAAAGAAAACCACACACAGGATCGACAACAAAGTTGACAGTTCAGAGTGTGCTGAGTAGCTGAGTAGTGCTGCCACTGCTTGTGCTATTTTACTTAATAACTACTCAGAGAGTTAGTGTCCAAATACCCTTGTGACTGGAAATTAGCATTTTACAGAAAGTTAGTAACAGGAGGCTGTAAATGGGAAAGAAAAGCATGACAGGAAACTACAACTGACTTGTAACGTTTCTGAGGTTACGAGTCAATTTTTCACACAGTTTTTTGAGGTTATTTTTATTATTATTATTTGGATTTTTTTTTTTCAGAGTAAGGAATTAATGAAAAAGAGGAAAGGAAGTTTTTGTGACAACCCAGACAATTCATAATAGGATGGAACACAAGCTAGAATTACTAATGCATAAAGTCTCAAAAATCTCGTATTAAACAAGGACAGTAGTCCAAATCCTATGGAAAAGCTAGAAGATTAAGCAGTAATTTCTCTTATTTCTATATTTTGTGCCTAGTAAAATGTCAGGACTGGGAAGGAAATGTGTGTTGATGCAAATACCATTTAAAAGCAAGTGGGTATGTGTATTAAAACAGGTAATATGGATTTTAACACTCCCCTGCAGCTAAGGGGAAAAGCAAACAAAAAAATCTATCAAGCCCCATGCCAGTTCTTCAGTAGGTTTGGGGCAGAGTTAGGAAACACATTTGGTCTTACCATGCGGAGCCACCTCTGGTCTAAAATGCTGCTCTTAGGTAAGGCAGCTCTAAACAGGATGAAGGACTAGCCCACTCTGAATACATGAAGATGCTCTGATTTTCTCTAGTGAGTAAACAAACTAAAAAATATTCCACCAAACAAACTCAAGCACTAAGCCTGTTCCTCTGCCTGCCTGATCCTGGCCTGTACTCTGAGCCCATAAGGCCAACACAGCAGACTAATTTAATCACTTTTAATTATATTTATCATCATCTGTTGAAATTTCAGGGTCAAAATCTTACAGAGAAACGCTTCCCTTAATCTGTCAGAAGGCTCCTGGAGCAAAGCAGATAATTGCCTTTCGAGCACATGAGAAAAAAAAAAGCACACAGAAAATTAACAAAATTACAGCTCTAAAGGGACAAATTGTGGGATCGGAGAGTCCCTCACAAAAGGCATCTCCATGGCTTAGAGTTAAAGCAGCTTAGGCTGAGGCAGACGAGGCTTAATGAGCTTATTACTCATGAGGCTGAAAGTCTCCATCATGAAGTCAAGCATATATAAAATCTTGATGGCAAAGCTGGCAGCTCTCAGATACACAGCCACACAGCACAAGAGAAGAAATTATAAAGGAGAGCAAGAGGAGGAGGATTAAGGACGCATGCCTTGTCAAGGAGAGCTCTAGAACAATGAAAACAGCCCTCTGAAGGACAAACATCAGGCACGAAGAGACAAAAAGTACCAGCCCCAAGTTTCCAGGCAATTCTCCAGTTTCACTAGCGTTTCTACGGTTCTACTACAAAATTACATGCACTTGTTGTGGAAACACACAACCAGTGTGTCTTCAGGGGCTCTAGCTCTAGACGCCTCTTCCATCTTAGAGCACACTTGAAGAACCTACCCACAGTCCATCTGTTTCTAAAAAGGTGAATTTATCGCTCAAAACCGCTTGCCCTGACAGCTCTGGAAGCTTAAACCTGCACAGCAGCAGAGCCAGAGTGAGATGCAGACAAAGACAAAACATGTTAATTATCCAGTTCTGTTATAACAAACTGACAGTGGTACAAGGCTGCTCTTACAAACTGCCTTCTCTCTCCCCTCTCTGTATGAAGATTAATAACTTCTACAGTTCTCACAATTTTATTTGTACAGTAAGGGTATTTACAGGCATAAGAGGATTTACTGCTTGATTTTATTCTGTACTTATATGGTGTGGTGTTTTTTCCCTCCCTACTTTTTTTTTTTTTTTTTTTTGAGTCAGATATGCCAGTTAATAAGTCGGGATACTTTATGTGATTGTCCTCACAGACTACAATATGCTTCAAATTTCAGCGCTGGTTTAAAGAAAAAAAGAAGCTTCATGAAGCATCTAAATAAATTTGAATTACCGTTAGTCAGAGAAGAAGACAATACTTTCATCATGCATAAAAGTTTTAAGCTACACTTTAAAAAGGAAGATGCCAGAAGAAACTTCAAACCACAGACACTGTACCAATGGGTTTGAGCTAACTCCCTCTGAAGTTAAAGTGACTTTTCTGTGAGAGTTTTACTATTTTGGTACTATTTTTCTCCATTCCAACACGTAGACTTCGCACACTGATCACAAACTTCTTCGGTTTAGCGCTACTAATGCTCATTGCAAAACGGTAAAACACGAGATTACATGTGTATAAACCACAAAGTGCTTTTCCTCTGAAAGGTTAATAAGCAAACAGCTTTCAGAAATTATCACACATGCACAGAGCTGATCAAAAAGGCAATTAAGACAAAAGAAACTGTCGAGCGTTGCTCTTCTGCAATAATTACATAGCAATGGTGCTTATCGCTTGCAAGGTCATTCAGAAGTGGCACTAAGTGACAATTTCTAATGCCACATTCAGAACAGAATAAAAAGAATATCAGCTAGGATGTCGCTTTGAATCTCATCTTTCCCAATAAACTGCAATGGGTAATGGTCTCTGCTGGGGGAAAACATACCAGCAGCAGCTTCCTTTAAATAAAGGCCTTCCCAGCAAGTAGCAAGCACAAGACTGAGGCCTCTCATCAGTTGTTTCAGATGAGAGAGAAGAGTAAGAGAATTAACTTCTGCACTACTTTGCACAAGGGAAGCGTGTTTTTAAATCTCAGGCTTATTCTTGTTTGAATAATTCAAAGGTGGAATGGTACAAAAATATCCTCAGGGGGCACAAGCAATCCTAAAAGCTCTCTCCATATCTGTACATACAGACAACCAAATTATTTTAGTTTGATCAGGTATAATTCAACACACATCCCAATGACTGATATGTTTTCCCAAAATCTGGCTTTAAAAATCAGATTAATCAATGTTTACATCAATCTCACTCACATGCATAGATTACGGGTGAAGTTAAAATAATGTAAGCAAGAAGTTTCACAGGAGCTTAGGCAGACTGAGTCTGAAGGAATTTATTAGTAGTTCCACGCAACTCTTCCAGTACAAAATCTAAATATCCAGTACCCTACCAGAACAGTCACTACGTGCAAACGAGACACTTCCCTGGCATGTTCAAGCCTTTAAACATATCTAAACCTCCAAATTTGAGCACACCTCCAAGACCCCCTGGCTCTCTTCCTGTGGGACCTGAATTTTCCATCAGAGCTCTCCCACTTCACACAAAATCGTTTCCTAGTAAAGCCACGTGAGTGCTACGCTCAGTGGGTAATACAGGAGATTTTCACCCAGTGACCATTTTACATGGAGCAGGACAGCTCCAAATGAGAGCAAGAGATCCTACTCAGGACCAGCCAGCATCGTATGTTGCTCATGTCCTGGGATGTAGAAGTCAGGGCAGAGATCTAAGCCCGGAATTTCACACTCGAATCACATATATCATCTTCCTTTCTGGCCAGAAACTGTATCTCAGAGGTTCTGTAAAGCCTCATACTTTGCGTTATGGATCTCTCTTACCTAGCAAAAGCTTTGCAAAACTTCATATGGTGTTAGAGAAAGGCTTTTATTCAGAGACATCATTATCCTTTAAAATTTTCCTCTTAAGCTAGAAAATTTGAGCACTGGTGAAACACAGTGATGGTCAGTTTTAAAAATAGCATTTCAATGGTATTTTTGCTACTCTCCCCTCAGTTGTGTCCTCTTACTGTGAAACCACACACCGGTGCTTTTTAAATTCAGTAATGCTCGGAAATTTACGTTTCTTCCTTGAACCACTTTGGAACTGGCCACAAACTCCCAGAAAACAGCCAAGTGTTGGTTCCATCTCACGGTACCAAACGCAAAGTCACTTTAACGTCCAGAGGAGTGTCGTGCCGGTCAGGTGCGTGCACTTGCCTCGCAGCTCCTCAGGCCGGTTGAGGAAAAGCGATGGACTTTCTAGCAAAGCTTGAACCTTTAAGCAAAAGCAAAAAGGAAATCCAGCAGCAACGAGAGCAGCGCACATGCAGTTGCCTGAAGTACGTGGCATGCTAGTTAGAAGCTGTGACTCTTCTTCCTCAGGCTTTGTCAGAGTGAAGACAAGGATTTGCGAAAACAAGAAGTTCAAGTAAAAAACGACAATACACAGCATGCAATCATTCTTCATTTACTCACTATATCCAATGGAGTTTTGCTTCCAATCTAATCAAAAACGTCAATTAGAATAATTAAAGACATAAATATTCATTTTCAAGGCCAATCTGCAACGTGGTTCTTGGGGTTTTGTTTTGGTTTTCCTGCAGAACAAAATACATTGCGAGCAGCGCATGAACAGAACCATGAACCAAGACCTGATTCTGCGTGCACCCGTCCTTACACTGTCCGCTTCCGGGGGAAATACTCCCACAGCGGCGAGATGACCGCGGCTCTCAGCCGGCTGCCGCCAACAGGCACCGCTTGCTGTACTCCGTCAGCGAGGAGGGGAAAGGGGCAAGCGGCGAGCGCGTTTAAAGCAATCTGCTCAGTCAGCGGAACGCAGAGGTGCAGACACAAAGTACACACTCTGTGAGAGACCTTGCTGATGAAGGCAAATTGCTCTGTAAGGCTACAAACACTCACAGACCAGGGGGAGTTTCTTTCTGACAGTCTGCTCGCGCAGGCGGATGTCTCGCTGTGTATAAATACACCCGGGGACAACCCTTAAATCCCAGCAGCCGCAGCTCTTCCCGAGCTGCACGGTCTAATGCGGTGCCGTATGCCGTGACCAAACACCCTTTCCGTTGGATTCAGTAGATCTGAGGCAGTCAGACATCCTTCACACACTCACATTTAAACACTACGCACAGGTACAGACAGGTATTTTGTGCCACAGCAGAAGTCTGTGAACTCCTTCCAAACTGAAGGGAAAACATCTCCTCAAGTTCTGCAGTGGCCTTGCTATTCTCTGTCAGAAGACAGCAGATGTAAGCATCTTGCTTCTCCACCCCAGGAAAGTAAAAATATAAACTAAAAAAAAGACAAAACTCTGTCACCGAGACAGAAAACGAACCTCCAAGATACTGGGAAATACTCCTCTCCTACAAGCCAAAGTGCCAGCAGGGTGCTGGAGCAGATGGTAAATTCCTGCACACACTGACTTCCCAAGCAGCATTAGCTTTCTAGAAAACTTTTTAGCATCAAATTTGTCTAGTTTCCAAAACACCAAATCTAAGCCAAAACGCACTGCCATAAGCTAACTTACACCGTGGTGCATACCTCGCGTATAGAGGCTGCTGTCGGTCGTGCAACCAGTGGGTACATACTGCACTAATGCTGACGTCACAACTCAAGTAATTCAGTCAATCTACATGATTTAGGTTGTTCTAAGACTGACAGACATATTAGGCTTATTATAGTTATTTTCAAACATTAATTTCCAAGGTTTTTTTCCTCTTTGGAACCCCTTGAGTACATGACTTCGTGCTTCTCCACTAAGAAGGAGTTTCCACATGGGGAAGGCTCTCACAGGTACGAAGTCATTCACCACGGTTAAACCGTGCTCTCCCCCCAGCCCCAACTGACCCAGCCCCTGTGCCGATTCCATTTGTATGAGCCAAAGAGGGAGTTTCCCTTGCTGATGGAATGAAGAGCGGATTAAAAGAAAAATGTCCACCCATTCTTACAGAGAAGAGACTTCACTACGGGAGACACAGGCTTTTGATTCTGTTTGCCCTAACGTTGCACAGAGATCTATTTTCAGCAGCACAAAGGGCTTGACTGGCTCTCCAGATGGAATTTTAATGTGAAATTACAATTAAGATCTCACTCTTTTCATGCCTGTAAGGATTTTGTGATAAGAGATCATTTCAACGAAATAAAATGTTTTTCTTCACTTTTTTTCAAAGTGGTTTGGTGATGTCATCAGCTCCAAAATACCGGGCAGAGATCGTGACCAACATCCCTGACTAGTGAACACCAAAGCAGTCAGTCCCAATCTAAACAAACGTGAAGCTATTTTCAGAGTAGGGAAGCCGATGGGAGGTTCAGTTGCTCGCGAGCACACGTGCCCACCTGTCAGACGTTATGAATGGCTCCTTACAGAGGGAGAAAGAATTCAAGAGGCTGCTTCCAACTCTTCTCTTTTTAGCAACATCACGCCATTCACTGCAGGGCAACTACCCCACTAATATCCCAGACAACCTAAAGGTCCTCCAGGAAGAAAGCTTCTTGTCTTTTTTTATTCGTTTGGGTCAAAGGCTGTGACCTTCTCACTCTTAATTTCTCCTAACGTCTCTCCTCACAGAGAAATTTAGCTAAATTCCAGCCAAGGTATTGGCCTCACAGTAAGCACAAAAGTCAAATAATGTAACTGCGTTTTCATAGATAAACCAGCCTTTCCTAAATCGCACTCAAACGTGTAAATATTTTGTAACACAGAAGAAATCCCAGTCCCCACAAAGCTTTCAGGTAGACAACCCAGCACACAAGAGTGTTCCTTTGCAGGCAATAGGCTAAAATCCGTAGCAGTTTTCTGTCGCTAGCGTACGCAGAACAGCTGTGTGACTACGACTCTGCAGATGATCCCTGCCCTTGGGTTTCTACACTAGCCACAAATATGGGAAGGCTGATATGGAAAAACCCTTTGTCTGGCGAGCCCAAGGACTCGACAGCAGGTCGCTGTCTGCAGCTGGTACATTGCCAGAAAGAGTGTACAGCAGCAAATGAAAGAAAAGAGAGGGGGCCTCGCTCTGCGCCTGCTCCACGCTAGTGGCACACGGGGACTGTGAAATGAAGCTTGAAAAGAGAATTCCCCAGTGAAGATGCCGTTATAGACATCTCTGCTCATTACAGAGATCTCTGCCCACGCGAGTCACGCCAAGAATCTGTCGATAAGACCTGGGCAGGGTTGCGATGCACATCGCTGTGGCCAACTGTACTGAGTCAGCCTGAGGTGGAATTAAGCTTCCCCCAGCAGCTCTCTCGGTGCTGTGTTTCTGGAGTGGTGGCTTAAAAGGTGTTGATAACACCCCAGTGTTTTGGCTACTGCTGAGCAGTGCTCACACAGCATTAAGGCTGCGGCTTTCCAGCATTCCCCCAACAGCAGGCTGGGGGTGAGTAACAATCCTGGGAGGGGCTACAGCCGGGCCAGCTTACCCGAAGTGACCCAAGGGGTATTCCATACCATATGACATCAGCTCAGATATAAAAGCGAGAAGGAAGAGGGAAGTGGGGGGGCGTTCGCTGTTCGTGTTTGTCCTCCAGAGCAACTGCTCCGCGTACTGGAGCCCTGCTTCCTGGGAAAGCGGCCGGACATCACCCGCTGATGGAAAGTAGAGAATAATCTTTGTTTGGCTTTGCTTCTGCGCGTGGCCTTTGCTATTGCTATATGCAACTGCTTTTATCTTAACCCACGGGCCTCTTGTTGCATATTCCCTCTCCCCGGTCCGTCTAAGAAAGGGGAGTGATAGCGCAGCTTTGGTGAGCTCCTGGCCCCCAGTCGGGGCCAAATCACCACACCATCCAAGCCCAGAGGAGGCTACTCTATGCGTATGCACGCTTCAAACGCCAAGAACGTTCGCCTTTGTTCCAAACGGGCAGCCAGAGAGCCCTCCATCCCCACGGGCCGAGTTAGGGGAGACCGGCCCTAGGGAAAGGCTCTACGCGTTGAAAGGTCAAACTCACTGCCCCAAGCGGCAGAGCAGCAGCGACGTTCTAAGTGTCCTCAACACACCGGTTGGGGTTTCCAGCTGCTGCGACCCTGCCACAGGCCAGCGCGTCCCCGTGGCGGCAGTAACCGAGCACGCTGGGAGGTGTGGTGGGAAAGCGGCATGTGCTGTGCCTCAATAATTGTCTCTTGGACAACGAAAAAAAGAACCAAACAATAGAAAACACTAAACGCTCTTGGTAAAGCCTGAGTATCTGTACAATTTCCTCATTGTAGTGCTTTTCTTTCTTGATCAGCCAGAGCCTGCTAACATGCGGCACAACAGAGTTGGATCACCCCATATATCAAGTAGATCAGTTAACACCCATCTTCGTGACACTTATTTTTACAAGTCACAGATTTCTATAAACCCACACTACACACCTCCCAAATCCAAATTTTGGCTATAAATTTGTGGCTTCTCATGATAGGCAATTTCTAAGTATCCAGGTGCAGGATATTAGAAAACAACCACAAGAACAAACATCCCAGGGACATTGCATACAAGTTAATCTTGATTACGGTAACTTTATCAAGGCTGCTATTGTGTGATCAGAGGGGAACTGGCACTGCGGGTCCACGGCTGACAAAAGCTATTTACTCTCTCAGTTTGCAGGTCAGACAACATGTCAGCTTCCGATTGGGAACTATCCCGTACTGCTGGCACATACACTGGGAATATTTTGATCACATAATATTACTAAATAACTTGAGCACACATAAATTCCACTCACAGACAACATCGCTTGTTGGACAAGGACTGGATTAGCAAGATTAATACTGAGATACAACAGGTTGCATGTATTTGTGTTGACTGCACCACACTGCAGGTTTTCACAGCGAATATTGAATGAATTCAAATGGAAACCATGGGGGGAGTTCACGACACGAGTATACACACATGTATATATCAGCAATTAAGGGGCTCCCGTACTGTTTGAGCACTCACCAGTTCCAAACACTGCCGGTGCCCGTACGCAGCAGCGTAATGCACAGTGTTGTACCCCTCTTTGTCTTGGATGGACGGGTTGGCATCGTTTTGTAGAAGGAACTCTAGACACCTGTGGACAATTCACTCATTTAAAAGAGAGCTCACAATATCTAAGAGAGCTCACAATATTTCACACGTCTCTCACTGCAACTCGGAGCGGCACTAAAAGCTGGCAGTTAATTCTGGATTTCTAGCAGCACCTCAAATTACAGACGAGTATCCCTCTTTTCACTATTTTTTTAAACAGAAAAGCCCTGCTCAGCTCTGCAGATCTTCATAAACAACAATCTTCAAGCCAGCCTTTGCCACTCTAGATCACAACATCATTTTCTACCTGAAAAAAACCTACACAGCTCTGTACCATGATGCAAACAGCCTGGAATTGTTACTACTGTACGTAAAAACTCTTGGATCAAACCACTAGCCTCTTATGGCAAGCTGAAAAACACAGACTTGACTGAGTTAATTTCCTGGCACATATATACACATATTTCCTTCTTGGTTAGCTTTTTTTTTTTTAAATTACACGTTTTTCAAAGGATCCCTTATGCTCTTTACAGTGCCTGACACTTTTTCTTATACCATCAAGAAATCACCATCTTCTTATTAGTACTTTCTTTCACAGCTTCTGATTTCCACTATATGAGAGGATGTCATGTGAAAAAGGGGATTTTTAAAACAGAAGAGAACAAAACAAAATGTTAAGGAGCTAGATGAAAATGTCAGTTCAAGTAAATAAATAGAGGAAGCCATTGGCCACTTTTTTTTGGCAACACACATGCTCAGTGCAAAGCACTAAAATAAGACAGCACATGATACTAAAGAATTACTAAATTACCGAAGCAGAACATTTTCAATTAACAAACAGCAACAAGCACAGAGGCAGAAATATTAGGGAATATATGCACAGAGAAGAACTTGGAGCTTTTCTCTTTAGATTAGCCCTTGTGAAAGCCAAGCATTGCATTTAGTAGAGCGACGGACAAGCAAAAGCAGTGCGTGAAGTGCAGCCCAAAGCAGCGGGGGTCTCCAGAAATGGAGTCTAACTGCTTTACTGACACCAAACTTACAATGCAGCTTCTTTTTCCTTCATCTCACTGGCTCGTTCGAGTTCTTCAGCATTTTCATGGGAGTTACCTAAAATATTCTTTCTTCTTAGTGCAGAGGACAGAAAAACGCATCTTATTTTCAAAATACTATACCAGTGACCGTGACACAGTCTGCCACCCATCCCCAATCTCCTCTTCAAGGAGCCGACCTCTTCCAGCCAACAGTAGGAATAACGCAATCTAGACGAGTGTTCTGCCTGGGTCTGCAGCAAAGGAGACAACTACGACATGCTAGTTTATCATCCTGCAAGTCAATGCCAGAAAAAAAACCCAGAAAATTCTGGTTTCTATCAGAAACAGTTTGATCACCATTCCTAGCAAAACGTTGTGCGCGTTGTTCCCTTTGCTGAGAGGAACTCAGGATCACCACAGCTTGCTCCTTCCCACAGTAACCTGCTAGTTCTTCTCTAACACTTAAGATTCAGAGGAACTTGAATCCCTGATACTAAATTGGTCTATCTTGAATCTGAACCTGTGCTGCTGACTCTCCTCGCTTTCTTTGAATATCTTGGCAGCGCCGTGTGGCTCTCTCGGTCAGATTCTTTAGATTCTTCAAAGAGCTCATTGTGACTTCGTATTCCTGCACACCTGGATCATTTCTGGCACCTCTGCTCCCCAGCTGGACGGATGGCAGGCAGAAGTCTATGATTTGTGAACGTACAATCGCGAGCTTGTGATTATGATCCTTCTTGGCCGCCCAGGCTGACAGAGAATACAGTTACAAACTGCTACAATCACGGACTGACACCTCCAAAGGTTTGCAGAAGGACAGTTTGTTAATTTCAATCCCGAGATAACACGCAAACCCCAGGCTAGATTCTGCACCATGCAGAATGGGACGTTCTCTCTTTAATATGCAATTTCTTATTTGTAACATCAAGATTTGACATTCTTCCTGTGGGCACTAGCAATAACGGGTTGTTCAACAAACCCAGGGTCTGCCTGTTGCCTACTGACTCAGGGAAGATTTAATGGTCAATAAGATAATTCCCCTGAATATTAACATTGTAAGCTCATAGGCAGTACTCGTGCTATGCTGAAGTCCTATCGCCACCTGCTTTCACTTAGCTACGAGTCAGTGAGGTCTCAAAATAAGGTTCCCTGAAGAGAATAAGCGATGATCTAGAGAAAGAGCACATACTCAGGAACCCCAATCCTCTATTTAATGAAAATGCTGCTGTGATGTCCATTGCAGGACAGGGAACTTCCTGAAGACCACAGCGGTTAGCTGGACAGCTGGAAGAGTAGGGCAACCTTTCCGTACCAAGGCTTTTGCCTGCTCATGAACTGCCCACATCCAAAGTTAAATAATTATGAATATTCTTGGGACAGAGACTGGCCGACCTTGGGAGTTTGTTGGCATCCGGCAGGAAAAAAAAAATGCTGATCTATAAAATAGCATTTCATTGATATAACAAGGCTTCTTCCAGAAGACCTCAAACTGGAAAATTTAATGAGAAGACAGCATTGCCACATCAGAACCAGTTTAGGTTTGGCCTATGAGGACAAATAAAGGCAACATATCACTGCCAGTGATGTTACCAAAGTAACATTTTTCTTGTTTGTTTTTTCTTTAATTAGTGATGGAAATAGATACATCCTGAAGTTAACCATATAAAGGCAGATTTCACCTATGAAGAGTCAAAAAGCTGGAAAACACACACTGAATCGACATTCTTAACACCCCAAGTAACACTTCAACCCTTGCAAGACAGAGTTAGAACAGCCAGTGGCAAAAACCTTCCTACAAGCCTACTCTGATTGTAATGCGAAGCACTGAGTATTGAAGATCCTGCTGCCTTCTTCCCAGCACCGCTCAGGTTTGAGGGTGATAGGGAAGACGTTTTTTACACCAGTATTATCACAGCAAATGATGAAGAAGCTACCAAGGCTCTGGTATGACATCCAAACCTCTGCATAAAGCGAAGCCAAAGATTTTCTGCAACGGCTTTGAGGTGGCATTCTGCTGGGGAAGAGCCAAACATATTTTCATCAGACCTCACATTACAAGAAACCAAACAAATAGTTCCTTAGTGTCTGGAGGAATGAGACAGAGAAGGATGGGATCACCTAAAATAAATATAGGTCGCTAACAGTTTTAAGAGAGAACCAGCAGGATAACCAAGCCTGTTTTATACAGGGTGTCGTAAGGGAGAGATTGCCAAAACATGTGACTAGCTGGGAATTAGAAACTGCCGTCACCAACCACAGGATTTCTAACTTTTGCAGCTGTTTTCCCCCCTTCTCACAAGAATAGCTCTGCATTCTGCCAAAAGATATTCCCCAGGTCTCTCTCTCTTTGTAAAATCTCTGAAAAGCAACCTGTTTGGACAGAGTGAGCATTTTTATAAGCTCTGACAGCGGAGAGAGTCTGATGGATAGATGCAGCCCATCTTCTCCAGAAAGTCTGTTAGAATGGCCAGATGTCTGTTTGCAGCTCATCTAGGAAAACTCCTTCTGCTGCCTCTTGCCCCATCCCTTCTGACGGACTTGGAAAGCAGATGTGTAGAAAATCCTCCGAGCTTACTCTTGTGAGGAAGCCACACGGAGGAGAACGGCAGATAAAACGTCGCGAAAATGGCCAGTAGGACAGGGCAGCTACAGAACTGCGTGATACATCAAAGGCAAACCGCAGAGCTGAAACGTCACCTCATCTGGGCATCTGGCTTAACATCAGAGCAACTCACAGCTACGCATACAGCTGAGAGACGTGCCTTTGCTAGCGGGATCGTTTTTTGGGCCCAAATCACGAAGAGAACAGCATGACACTGATTTAGCAAAATAAACGGGGCATACAAAGAGGCTTTCTTACTTTCGGTCCATGTCGGAAGCAGCAGCGTAGTGCAAAGGGGTGCGTCCCCAGTCATCTGTTTCATTAATATTGGCTCCTGTCGTCACCAGTGTCTCAATGCAGTGGAAATGACAATTTGCAGCTGCGTAGTGCAAAGGCGTCCTGGAATGTAAGCGACAATTCGTTACCTCGTATTCCATCGAGGATAACGATAAATCTTAACTGCTGCACTCCTACGGGCTGCCAACAGTCAATATCAGAGTCTTACGTCCCTGTGATGAAACGCCAATTTATGCAAATTGAACAAAACACTGTATTCACAGGAAGTTTTGGTGCTCTGACAAAGCCTAACAGGGTACAGCTCATCAATCTGCGTCTTGCAAACCCCCTGTTCCCAGCGACAGCCTCTCTGTTGCTCTGCACACACACCACTTGGGAGGCAGAGCAAAGCACAGTGTCCCGCGCAGTGTCTTGTTCAGCTGGCACGGCAACACTTCCCGTGGGGTCAAAAAAGCCTCTCGGAAGCACGTAAAAAAGCAGCAATCCTCCCACTGTAAACCAGGTGTTGCCTCGGGCACACGGGCGCAAGAATTTAGGCAATAAGAAAAGCAATAAACGAGGAGAAAAAAATAAAGCTGTGATATTTTAAAACAGAAACCTCGAGAGGATGGGAGGGCTTTTATGGATGAAATGAAGTCTGCACCTGGCTGGCTGGCATGTAACCGCAGCAGCGGGAGCTCTGCAGGGCAGGCCAAACTCCTACTTTATTTTACTGACATTTTTCATAGAACATATGATTTCCAGACAAAGGTGGTCCTTCTTCCTTGCTTTCTAGATTTTTTCTCTTTTTTTTAGTGAACTTCATAATTTACCTACCTCCCACATTTGTCCTTCTTATTAAAATCTGCTCCACTGCTTTGCAAGAGTTTTATACATTCAACATTACTGGAAAGAGAAGCAAAGAAAACGAAACATGAACAAAACAGAAGCTTACATTTGTTCTGTCCCTGCTCCCCCCAAAAAGGAAAACGTTACTCTAACTATTTTTGATTATTTGCCATGCAAAAACAGGGTACAGCCAACTACGACGTGAACTTCAATCGAACAGAAAATGAAGCTTGCAGAAACTATTTCCTTTTTTCCTCAAGCTTCTGCAGAAGAAAATAAAAATTAATTTTCCGAAGAGAGCACAGTACAGTGTGTCTGGAGATTTTCAGTGGGAGCTGTACCCCAATGCTTCCCACACTGAGCCAGTATTTTAAAAGAGAACTTGAAAAGAAAGTTGTTGCTAAGTTATAAAATGCCAGGGTAATAACGAAGAGGTGACATTTAATGAAACCCACCCTCGTTCGGCAAAGCACTCAACAGTAAGCACTTTGCTCAAATCGTGTTTACTTAGTTAGATTTAATTTTAGGTTTATTCTCATATGATTAGTTGACTCTTGATAGATTTGAGCACATCTCCAGGTGTTTCGCTGAATAAGGGATGCGGCTATTTAAAGTGATTGCCATATCAGCATTGCATTTATATAAATGGATGAGTTGGGCCACTGCTTCGCATCTCCTGACAGAATCCACCACATCAGAGCTGCTTCTGATCTCGTGTAATGCCAGGGGATTTCCAGCAGAAAACAAAACAGCTGAATTCTCACATCTTTTGTGATTCAAGTGAGTAAAGGTACAGCTCCAAGACAGAACGTGATGTAAAGAAGCGCAGCACTTTCCAAGACTCCTTGTCATTCACAGGGACAGTAAATCTTTTGTTTTCACAATCAGATGAGCAGGCTTCCGAAGTATGTTCTTTTCCTAGCACCCATGCAACTCCCCTTCCTATAATGGCAGTAACAGGCATGTGTCAGGAAAAGAAAGAATGCCTTCGGCATGCAGCTCCAGCACCAAAAAAACCCCAATGGGTTGGCATATGTTCATCCCTACTCTAAACTGCTGTTGCACAAAACTGCTACAGAGCACTCTCCGCAACATACTAAAAATACAAACACTTCTTAGGGATGACAGTTGTAGTAAACCACTGCAAAAATACACTTATTTTCACGAGTAGCTTTCGCTTCTTATGAAGCCTCTCATTCTCTTTAGGACTGCCAGGTTGATTTTATTATTCTTTTGGGGTGCAGCCTTATTGAAGAGGTGGCATCTGCACTATACTATAATCACAGCCACACCTCCTCCGTTAATGTGAGACAAGCATCAGGGAAAGCAATACCTTAAGAATAATAAAAACTGTATTTTTGTCAATTCTATTAATTTTTCATAATAACAAAACCCTTGTGAGATACATATATATTGGTCCACCAAGACGAAAAAGCAACTTCCAGAAAGACTGCCAAGCGTTTGCCACGGATGGCTGTTTCTGCTTGCCGTAACCACAGAGAATCCAAGCTGGGTTCTAGGCAAGGCTCCGTTTCAGCCGTTTTCTGAGCCATGCAGTACTCAAGGGAAGAATCAAAACTCCTGGTGCTTGCCAGATGTTTAGTCCTTTTGTTAGGTTAACTGCCCGGCACTCCGCTGACAGTTATTTGGAAACACTTAAACTAACGGGATGCTACATCTGCAACTTAAATTGACGGATTTCAGTTTTCAGTTATTTCAATTTCTGGCCTTTCTGCACTTATCAGGAATGCATCGTCCCTTTCTAATTTGGAAGCTGGGGGTTGCTCGTTTGTGGGTTTTTTTGTTGTTGTTGTTTTCATTTGCTGGTTTTTCTTTGAGAAACTTTTAAACTTGGACCTGAAAAATGGGAAAGACCGAGACGAGCTGCATTTGGACTCCAGAACTACAATCTGACAGGCACCGTTGTGTCGTTGCACTATTGGAAAAGGACACAATCCGAAGGCAGAACCCAGGAAAACACTCCCCAGCTCCCCGCGGCAGAGGGAATCTGGCCGTCTCCTTTACTTTGCCAGCAAACCCGATGCGAGGGCAGTGGCAAAAGACGGGCTCAGAAGCGACCCAGATTCAGCATCCCATCCCCTTCGCTCCCCTCGCACCGCAACAAATTCCTCTGTGGACGGCACAGTCGAGTTGGCTGGCACCAAACTTGCAAGGAAGCCACGAAATAGCGTCCGGCAGCTACGGTCACGGCTACTCACCCTCCTGCAGCGGCGGCGTGGAGGCACGTTCTTCCGAAGCTATCGGGGGTGTCTATTTCAAAGCCTGCAGACAGCACGTGCTCATTACTAAACAAGGACACTACGCTATACTTTTGTCCTAGTTAAACCACAAGAAACATCGCAGAGACAGAAAAATCAGTTAGTTGGGAAAAAAAAAAAAGAACGCAAGCAACTACAGTCAGAAAGAGGTTGTCACGGGAAAGGTGAGCGGCTGCTCCGCTTTGGCAGCGCTATAAAAAGAGCCGCAAAGTCGAGGAGCGTCTCTTTCGGCATCCAGCTCTGCGCCACGCCCCTATTTAAAACCACGTGACAGGCGTTTACGAGGCAGATATTTATCAGGATGAATGCGACAGCAGGACACAAAGACATAAAACGTGAAGAAACGAGGGAAAACCACAGAGCCAGCCTGGACATGAAACGGGGCCATTTTGATCGCCTGTGGTTTTCAGGTCAGAAAGAAGCTTCCAGGCACACGCAGGGTTATTCATCAAGATGCATGAGGTCAAAAACATAAGCCTGGCAGTATTAACTCTGGTCACCCAGAGCTTTTTCTCTTCCCTCCTGATGCAGTGGCAAAGACCAGAGCGTGCCAGGGTTTAATGTCATGGAGTATGTAATCGCCATTTTTCACGCCTTTTTTAATATCCTACAGGACTCAAGTTTAGGGGAAAAAGCAATTGCAGGAGATTTTATGTGTTAAGTAATGAAGCAATTTTCTAGAAAACGCATACAATCTGCCTTCTGATTTTTTAACTCACTGGAACTCTAGTCTGGAAAGAAAAGAATTTCGGATTTGGCACCTGATTACTGCCTCTTTTGAAATGGCTGCAAGAGCAAACTCCCGCGTCTTCTGCTTTGGGCTCTGGTGAGGATCCTAGGACTGCTCTCTCGGTGCTACACCTTCTCTCACTTACCCCCTCGTGCCCACGGAACTTTGGGCAGCCTAACTCCCTTACCCTGTCTGGATTCAGAAATGCACCATCATCAGTGAGACACAAACACCTGCACCAGTGCAGGCACCAAGGAAGGAGTTTCCTGAATTATCCCTTGGGAGGGGGGAGAGCCAAACAAAACAGTATCTCACACTCCTACAGCTTGGCTCCCACATTTCCTGCCTCCTCCTGCTAAATTCTCTGAACCTGCCAGGAGAAAAGAGCTTTGGGCATGAACAATACCTACGCCCCTCACCGCACGTCTTTCGTCGGAACAATTCACAACAAAGGGTGTAAAGGAGTTGTAAGCAGCAGAGACACACACTACTCCAGCTCCCCAGACAACGCGGGATTTACTTACCCGACGACAACAATTTCCTGCAGCAGTCCGAGTGAGCGTTCAGCGCTGCCAGGTGTAGAGGGAACATGTTGTGGATCCCACACCTGAAAGGCACAACGGCCGCGTTACACAGAGTCGCAGGCTGCAGACCCAGCACATCAAAAGCTCCTGCTGCAGACCCAGCAGGTTTTATCCTTTTTGAGGAAGATTCCTCCCATCATGTTATTTTTATCTGTATTTCCTTATCAGCCTTCTCGGGAGTTAAAAATATTCTCGTACAGCAAAAGTCTTGGCATTGCACTTCGAACAGAATGTGGCAGGAAGGTTTCTAAAAATTCCAGGTGAAAGCCAAGGTGAGCGAGGAAGCGAGCGGGCAGGTAGTGCCTGGAGGCGGCTTCCCACTGGGGGATGCACAAATCTGTGCGTCGGCCACGCATACCGCAACTGCCGTTCTGAGGTAAAAGTAAATGCCAAAATCTTCTCAGTATTATTCCTGAAACCCATTTTTTCTGTGGCTTAGCAGCCTTTAGATAACTCTCACGTGGGTTTTCAAAGTCTCCTCTTCTTCCTTCTCTCTCTCTCCCCTGGGGCTGGGGTAGCTGACGACCCTTCTTTACAATTTCCTTTATGCCTCCGTGACATTTGCACTTTTCTTCCCACACCCTAAGAACTAAACACCTAATTCTCCTATTTGCTCCAGCTACTCTCTCCCTCACACTCCCTTTCACTTTTTCCCCCTCTTTAACACATGACTCTCTTCAATTGCGCTGTAAACTTCTCACAGCAGACATGCTGCATTAAAAAAAAAAAATAGGTACCTATGGGCCAAATCTGTATCAGGCAACCACAGAGTTTTTAAATAAACTGAATACTCAGCAACTTTTATTAAGATCATCCCAGTTCAATCCCTACGCATGCTGCTGGCTGCTGTCTTAAAAGACTTCTGGGGTTAGACACCTTGGTTTCTGTCGTTTAGCATTGTTTTGTGAGAAGCAGTTTGTTATTCTAGAAATATTCCTCTACCGACTGTCCTCCAAGCGCACACAAACCTGGAGCCCCTGAAACCAACTCTCACAACAAGATTATTAACTACTGCCTGCTTCAAGAGATATTCTTTGGAGAAATGACCAAGCTCTTGAACAACAGTAGGTGGATCTACATCTGCCCTTCATTTCTGCAGGACAGTTGGTGGACGGGAGAGTAGGATCACCTCAAGAAACTGGATTTCAGATACAGACCCGGAGACGAAGGGTCTCACCCTAAATCTGTAGGTCTCACCCTAAATCGTAACTACTTATGAAGCTTTAGACAAAAATCAGTGTGGGTGTTTATGAAGATATCTTGCTTTCTCTAACATTTTACATACGTATGTATCTAAATCATTTTGGTTTTTAAAAAAATAGTCTTTCCAGAATCCACAGGCCCATCTTGCCTCTGTCCTCACATTAAATGTGTCCTTCTTGCTCCTTCACTACACTAAGGAGTGACTGGAGTTGCTGTACAAATTTTCATTTTGCTAGTGGCAGCATCTACATCTTAGTTAAAAGCGGAATCTTTTTTTTGAAGCCAACATTGGACATTTTCTATTGCTGTGCTTCTTCCTCCACCCGTATCCCTCTACCTTTCCCCCCACCTCGTTATCTAAAGCAGCATTTTCCTGCTTACAGGTCAAGATTTCCACCCAGCACATGGTTTGGCCAGTTTCCATTACGCTATCTGCACATCTGCTAACTGGTGTCACACCTCAGCGTGCTGGTCACACCCGTTCCTCCCATCCCTCACACCCTTTCCCCTTCACATGCAGATGCCTCAAAGGCTAGCTGAGCTCTCTGCAGTCATTGCTAGGAAAGCTGCCGAATTTTCTTTTTCAAGCCAGTTCGAGGAGCTCAGCCAGAGTTGTTTACATGCAGCACATACGAAAGCCCGTTTCAGTGCTCCTTGTTTCGCACAGACAGAAGCATCGTTTGGATCTGCCTGGTATTTCTGAGCCAACTTCTTCTTTCACTTATTTCTGCTGCTGGAAAATTTTTTTCTTTTTATCAGTGTTCCAGTCACCCAAGTGTGAAATAGAAATTTCTAACTGGATAAGCCAGATTCCAAGAGAGGGCCATCTCACTGCATCTCCTTTTCCCTTTAAACCTCAAGGTAAGAGACAGACTGAGACCTACTGTACTGGAGAAACAGCTAGGAAAAATACACATCTATTTAGACACCAAGATCTTCATGCTGGCTACATTAACAAAATCCAGTGTGACGTAAGCTGAAGCCTGTGGCATTTCATTTTCCATGCCAACTGAAGATCTGTTCTGCCTTCCTAGTTTGCGTGGTGACAGTCGTACTTGATAAAGGAATATGGGCAAATGTGCCACTTCCTTAAACGTCGTCAAGCAGACAAACAAAATCCTGACAGCTGAGAGCATCCCCAAAACCCAAAACTAAAACCAGCTCCTCTCCATCTGAAAGCAGGTTCTCCTCATTAGGCAAGTCAAGAGAAGTCACCAATTTCTGTGGTAGGTTCTAAGTAGGAGATTCTTAAGTTTTATTTTGGAGACATGCAGAGGTAATTGCCAAAAACTTACACTCATGAAATCAGATGCTGCTATTAAACACCTCGCACAGATATCCCTCATGGCATTGCATTATTCTGGTCTTGCAACACTTTGTTTACCTTCAGGTTTGCTATTTTCTTTTGACAGACACAAAGAACCTGAACATAACCAACCAATACTCAGCTTGTCATAAAAATCAAGCACCTGCCAATGTTTGAGTTGACGATACTTTTCATCTGGTGACTGCAGTCTGGACATGTGTGCAAGAAAAGAAAAAATGAAGCAGAAAGCACTAACTACATTTAGAAATGTGTCCAATTTAAATTCCTCATCTTTCTATTCAAGAAAAACTCCCAAACTCACAAACCAGGTAAAAGCAGTCCAACTATTTCTGCCACCTGAGCATCAGAAACCGTGCAGCATCGAGACAGGCACTAGTTATACTGAGATCAGAAATACGTAGTAACGCCTGCCTGCCAGTGCTGCATTTCTATTGCTTATCCTATGTCACACCAAAAGACACAAGGCAAAAAATAACCACCATGTACAACAGGCTGCTAATCATCAGGCAAATTTAGATACAAAAGAACACGCATGTAATTTCCTTGGAAGGCATCTGAATTTTTTTCAATTACATTCCCTCTCTAAACTCATTGCTACAGACGTTCCAGAATAATTGTGATCAAGGTGCACTTCATATACATACATACCTCGGGTACCTTATATCGGACAGTGCCACATCAAGGCTTTAGGAAGAAGAAATAGCACTTGTACTACTTGTAACCAGGTAACTGGGCACAACAGGAGCTTAGCGGGGCTCCCTTCCCCTCCACGCTTCCCGAGGGTTCATATTTTAGCCCCACGTCACTCACTGAAGTACAGTACAATTATGTTTATCCATTTTAACCTTCACATTTCGGGACCTGAGGGAAGATTAACTGTGTTTCCAGGCACCAGACATAACACTTGGTATGAGAAACAGCTCCACTCCAGCCACCTACTTGGCAGTATCAGCTCCGCTGGTTATGAGGGTGTTAATCAGAAGCTCATGTCCGTATCTTGCAGCCACGTGCAGAGGGGTGTTACCATCCTTGTCGACACAGTCGATTTCCCCTCCTGCAAAAGACATTTTTGTGCAGTTTAACACCAAAAGATGAAGCACAAGCCAGTGACCGCAATTGTTATTTCTCTCTAGAGAATTTAGTATAACCAGTCCAGCCACAGAGACACTAAATTTCAGAGACTGAGAGCCAGCATCCAGCCTCCAGCCACTGGACCTGAACGTGGTCTGGCCGCGACATCTTCGCCTCCCTCTCCAACTGCAGTGGTGGGGGAATATGGTGGAAAATAGGTGAACAGGATGACTCACAATCTAAAGGTACAAGTGGATGCTTTGAATTAAACTAACAAAATAAACTGCCGAGACCATGCCCTCATTTGGAAAGGTACTGCCACTCAACCTTACCTGTAGGACAACGAAGGCCAGCAGGAGTACACTGCAAATCACAAGCGTGTTGTGCCTTCCCGGTGACTTACCAAAGAACAACCAAATAGCACTTAAGTAGAACTTTTCCTGTTGCAGTTTCAGCCTGTCATCTCAAGATTTAACCTCACAAGCAGGAAAAATAGTTTATTTCTTTCTTTCATAGAGCACCATGTGCATTGCTGATCATTTTTTTAAGCACCACGACACTGCTGACTCATGGCAAACAAGCTCCTGATCCTCGACGAGCCCTGGATGCTTTCTTGAGGAACCACCACCCACCCAGCTGCCGCCTCTCTGAACTTGTCCAGCTGCTAGTCCTGTCTGTGTGGGGCATCTTGCCTTTGCTTCGCTGGCGTTAAAAACTTCTGCCTCCAATTCTGCAGGATCCTTTTCCACTCTGACTCCACCTTCTGCCAAACTAACAGAATCTTCCAACTTCATGTTTTCTCCAAATGTTAAAAGCACATTTTCTGTTCCACTGTTCAAGTTGGTAATGAAAGTGCTGGATAGTTCCAGGCCCAGGAGGGAAACTGAAAACTCCCTTGCTACACTTTTCATTTCGACAACAATCCATTCATCACTCATCTCTGAGTGTAGTTTTTCAACTAGTTATGTACCAACACTGTAATATTTCAATACTCCACTATTTTCCTGTGAGAGTACTTTATGAAAGCATGTAAAAAGTCCTGCAGTCATCAGGACAGGATGATATTGAGTGCATGTCCACTACTCACAGGAGGTAACAGGCCACAAGTGCGACAAGAAAAGTTCTCGTAAAGCACTATGCAGCATTTTCTAACTGTAAATCAGAGTCAATGAAATGCTGGGACCGATTCCCTGGGGTGCAGCCTCCATCAGCAGAGGTCTCCACAAACATTACCTGCCCACAGAAAAGTCACAGGACGGTGCTGTGTTCACAAAGCCTATCACCCTGCTGTAGAAGAGAACTCCGATGCTCTGGCATCTTTTGCTCTTGAGAAATCTATGCCAGGTATTGCCCCAATGTGCTTACAAGCAGTTTGTTCCTTTGCTCGTTTGAGAATTTGGCACTGACCTATGTAAAATTCTCCAGAATTTCTTTCCTCCCATTTTTAAAGATAGGTATCACATTTGCAATTTTCCACTTTTAAGGTAATCCATTCTTCCTCTAAAAGTCACGGGAGACAGCAGCCAGAAATTGAGATGCCTTTAGCCCCCTCATTAAGTACTGCAGAATGAATCTCCATCTCTTTAAATCATTGACATTTCTCTCTTCCGCAATATCCCATGGCAGTAAGGCATAAAGTCACTTGCCATCAGATCTGTGTGCAATATTAAAATTAGAGGGGCAACAAATGAAGAAAGACAGAAGTGAAACCCAAGTAACTCAGAGTGGAGAGGCGTGAAGGACAGAAGAAGAACTACCAGTCCTTTCACACACAAACCCAACAGAGGGCAAACAACAGCTGTAAGTTAGAGAGAACATTTAACTAAACAACTGAAAATTGCATTAAATCACAGTTTCTTCTGGTTTCCCCAAACTTCTTTTGGTTATTACTGTTTTATTTACTGAAGGAAAGATTTGACAACAGTTTGCATGGTGACCTGAAAGAAGCACAACTTCGCAAAGATCTCCATTTAAAAATATAATCTGGTGTTAACCTGTCACTACATTTACATCGTGTCTTCACCATCTCACATGAAAGTTCCCAGAGTGGGATTTCGGGAAACAAACAAACAAACTCCAACCAATCAAGCCACCCCAGACCACCCTGCCTGGTAGAGGCCAAAGCTGGGAAGGGTAAGTGAAAAACCAGTAACAGTAACCTCTGTCGATTGGAATCATGCCTCTGCCACAGCTCCAGCAATAATGTTTGTTATGCTCTGTAGTATTGTTGGACGAAAGAGAAAAATGACTGATAATGAGGAATCCTGGCTATGCCAGAACAAGCGAGGTGGTGCTGGTCCACCCTCCTGTGTATTTACTCAACGCTTAATGAAGGCAGTGGCGAGGGATGGAGCTAAGGGAGGTGAGAGAAGTGCAGCTGCCCAGTGGAGGGTAGGGAAAACGGTCTGAGCTCTAAGAACCCCAGGGCTCCCAAGGAAGGACAACCAGAAACTTAAAAAATTTGAGAAAGAAAGCCGTGCCTGCTTGTCAGCAGAAAAAAAGACCTAAATACAGCTTTGAACTCTTGTTTCCATGTTAAAAATCACAACAGATCAGCTGCACCACCACCAGCTGGAGGAATACGGGATTCTGCTCACAACCAAAATCTCAGCTTGTGGTGGCATGCTGGAATGAGAGTTGTCAGTGCAGCTCAAAGCCAGAAGTTGATGGAGAGCACTGAGCAGCTCTCAGAGAAGTCCTTTTGCACTCTGGGTCAGAACAATTGAAAATTGCAACCTTGGAAACGGCAAATCTTTTGGAGAGTCGTTAAAGGGACTCAGAAACTCACCGTTCTGAATGAGGGTTTGCGATCGTGTGAACCTCCCATGGACAGCTGTCATGTGCAGCGGGCTCTTCCCATCCTTACTCTAAGAGAAACGAAACATAAAACTAACCAGTTAGCATGTAAATCGGTGGTAACAACCTGAAATCTCTCAGCTCGACATCCTACAGCTAGTCTTCAGATAAACACTGTACATAACACCCGCTAGAAACCTACAGATATATGACATATTACTATTTTACATTAATTTTAAGCAACATTTCCCATTCAGTCATTATTCTCCCTCGCCCTTGCAACAAGTGGAAGAAAGAAAAGCACAGGAACCATAGAGCTAAGTGGGAACAGTCTCTGAGAGATCCATGTATCCTGCTTATCCATCTGCATTTTATAGATGCATCCCAGGATAAAAGTCGCTACATTGAAAGGTTTTGGTTAATAAATTTTCACACAATCAAAAATAGGATATCTACAAAAGACAATTAGAAAACAGGCATACGAAAGGAAAGGTACAATGAGTAGAGATCTATATTTTGGGTCCTGGACGAAGAAACTGAGTTTGGGGGAGCCGAGGAGCTGAGAAAAACAGCAAGGGAAAGATAGCAGCCTCCCTCCTCACATCACCTGATGTTTATCGGCACAGGGGTTTGCACTCATCGGCAAGAACAATCCTGTAATTTCGTTTTAATCATTCTGAGTTTAAATAGTGCACTGAGTGTTCACTGATCGCCAGGGACTTGCCAGAGCTGTTAAATGCTAGGAGACCAGTTTTACAGATAGGAAACTGAAACACGCAGTTTAAAGTAAAGCAATCAAAACCTTCTATGAGCTCAGGGATCCCAAGTCTTCTGGTACCTATGCCAGTGCCCTCTGTTGCATAACAGCAAGTTCCTTTCCGTCTCTTCAAGACATATCAATTGCATCTCAAAAGCAGATATCCTAACCAGAATCAGCCTTTGTCAACTCAGGCTCTAAAATGGGTAAGCAAACAATCTTCAGTTCTTATTTCCCTGCAAAAGTCAAAAGGAACTTTTTTGAATCATGTTTAATTAAATCCATATTGTAAGGGGAAGGAAAACACCAGAAAGGAACAGTTCCTTGACTTACCACCACTCCCTGAAACAACATTTTGACAGAGCTCCTGAGACCGTGTCTTAATAGTGGTTCATGCCTTCAGGAGAGCGGCTGGCTTAGAATTTAAAGCTGTCATTATATTTGTCAAGGCACTGAGAGCTCCTCTGCTAGGAAGTAACCTCGCCCAAACAGTTTAATGACCAACATTCTCAGCATCACTCTACCTCCACCAAGGTTTTAAAGCCCTGCTGTACTCATTATAAGACTCATTTCCAGTCTCCTGAGGTATGCAAACTAGGGTAGAGTAGAACTGAAGAGCTGCAATGCAAGTTTTACCTGAATGTTAACATCTGCCCCATTATTCACGAGCAGTTCCAGACACAGTGCTCCATGCGTGGAGGCAGCAGCAAAATGCAGGGGAGTGAATCCGTTATTATTGGGCTGATTTACATTAGCACCATAGTCAATCAGCTCGTTAACCACAGAATCCTGGCCGTTGTAGCAGGCGATGTGAAGTGCAGTATTTCCATAGATGTTCATTTCATCAATCTAAAACAAGACCAGGAGACGCAGTTAAAATTACAGGCATCGGCTCGCCGTTTTACATAACGCACAGCCTACTGCAAACGAAAATAGCTGGAGGCTTGAACTGTCATAGGGCATATTTCTCACCAGTAAGTTTCATTGACAAAAATATACTCCCAGAGAGCTTAATTTGGAATGCTTTACCTTTACTATTATTAACTCTTTATCCTACTGGCAATTTCTAAAAGCCAGTATGAAGCTGGTAGTAGGATCATGATCCTGACAAAACTCCTAACAAGCTGGAAGGCTTTTACATGTGACTGGGAAAGGAGGATAAATAGAAAGCTCACCATCTCTATTTTAAAAATAAAAATAAAAATTAAACCACCAACTGTTGAACTTCTGTGAATAGAATCAGGCTTAGGAGTTCTTTCCACACATTTGCTCTGGCAAAGGAGCGAAGATGTCTGAGTGACGGGAAGGTGAAATGGCACAGCCATTTACACTTCAGTAGGAACCCCCTTTCAGTAGCTCAGTATTATAAAGATGTAATTAAGATTATGTTACTTCTTGATGACTGGCTGAGTATTACTCAACTGCAGTGCTGTAAAATAGGATAAGACAGATTGTACAAAAGACTCGGGAGTGATTGAATATCCTTCCACAAAACACAGGCATCTCAAAGATCACATCCCCAGTGGTGAAAGATGTGGAAGTTTAAGGCAATTATTAGCATAGTACTGCTAATAACAGGAAACACCTATTCCCCTTCAACTTCACAGTCTACAGCCTGTGAATAGCGACTTCTGACACTTTTTTGGCAGGTCAAGTCAGCTGAAAATGTAATAGCAAACCCAATGGCTTTATTTGACATCTCTGATTAACCAGAGCAGGTTCTTCTGGTCATCTCACCATTGCTTTGAGCCACCAAGTTGACAATATCACACTAAGAGAAGAACTCTGTGCCCTACAAAAAGTTCTTGATAATTCTCCTCCTTCCCTCCGTCAACTACGGAGGAAATACAGGTCCCTAAATGTAAACAGCCTCAACTGTTCAGAGGCATATGCAGTGTACACGTTGAGAACAACCACCCCTCATACCAAAGGGAATGCTAAGCCAAGGTAAATTCCATTATCCCATCATCCTCTGCAGGAACAGCATCTATTTCTGACTTCTTCCGCGAGATGGCCTGGAATTTACTGTCCATATCTGACATTTTTTATTCCAGAATGTTTCCTGACTCTTGAACCAATAAACCACACGAAGCACAAAGGCTTCCAGACAATGAGAGCTACTTTCTTTAGAAGCTCTGCCAGCATCTGCAGCAGCATCCATAAGAAAGCCAAAAAGAGTATCTCCATACATGGACAAACACGGAGGCCACGAAGAGCGCGTTACCACATACCTCTACCCCCAGGTTAAGGAGGTGTTTCACAATGTTAATCTGCCCGTTGGATGCAGCTGCATGAAGCGGGGTGTAACCCTTCTTGTCTTTACAAGTCACTTCTGCACCGTGATTAATCAGTAAGGCAACAACTTCCAGGTGACCTTCAAAAGATGAAAGAGAATGATCAGTAAGTACAGCGTTCTACACCATCACTTCTCCCAGATTACTGCTTTCTTGCTAATGCACTGCCCCTTTCGCTGCTGCTTCACAACACTCACACGGTTTTACAAGGGGAAAAAAAAAAAAGCACTTTTGCTCGATTTCTTAATCCTAGCTCCAGGCCTTGTCAAGAAATCCATGTGTTCACATTCATCAGGTGCGTCAAATTTCTCTTTACTGAATTCGTTTTCCAGTCATTAAAAGAACAAAACTGCACCTCTTATTCTTTTATTTCTCTAAAAATAATAGTTTGGGTTTCATCCTCTCTGCCACAGAAAGAACAGTGAGCACAGGAGCATGACAATGCAAGTCCCCCAAAGCCGCATCCCATTGATGTCATCTGCAAACACAACTGCTAGCACTTGTTTTTTATTAGCCATACAAAATAACTTTAATAAATGATAAAATGAAGGTATCCTCTCTTCTACCACCGCTAAGGACACAGAAAACTAAATTTCAAGTGAGTGCAGAATTTGATCCAAAGCCCACCGATACACAAAACTGGATGAAAAATCCTGAATAAACATCTAAAAGTCTTGGAATAAGAACTCATGGTCTGTACACACATATTTAGTTTGAGAACTAAAATAACTGCAACAGCCTCAACAGTCAGACTGACTGCCAGATCGATGGGACATCTGTCTCCAGGAGTGAAATGTCTACCCCTGAAGTAGGATCTCCCTACAGATTACAGGGGAAGAGCTGAGCATCTCAAAATGTAATTTATAACCCACCTGGTTCTTAGGTTTCCTCCTCTCTCTGAAGGTCTCAAATCATCTGGGCTGCCTGCCCAGAGAGTGCCCTAACCGCCAAAACTAAACCAAGGTTACTGAGCAATAGTCCTTGATGTTTCATGTTGACGCAGAGCTGTCTGGTTTAGGAATTCAAAATCGACGATGTCAAACACCGCAGGAAGTCATGAACCGAGTTGTACAGCACTTTCACAGCAGAGGCAGCTCTGGTCGTGTGCAAGGCCTGGGAAACTTTGTGGGCAAAGTCCGAAGTGCCCAAACATATTGAATCATTCAAGAAACTACATGAGGCTTTAGAGGGTAAGATGCTCAGGTCTCATTATCTAAATTCTGCCCATTATAGCACAGACTCCCAAATCCCATTGCTAATTTAGGCCTTACATGTTATCCAAGTATTTTGCCAAGTACGTTATGAATTTCTGAAAAGAACTAAGAGGAAAAGCGATGTGGAACAGCACAGCACAGTGCAAAAAACTGTCACCTCTGCAGAGTGGAGTTTAGAGCTTATTAGCTGAAGAGCCAAATCACATTTGTTGGCAAGAGTCTTTCCATCTGTCTGTGCATACGGAAACAAAAAAGCACAATATGCTTTTTTCACAGCTTGAAATCTCCTATTATCTCATTTCCAAAAGCGCCAGGATTAAAATAAAGATTTTGACAGGTCAGATGAAAGAGTTCCTGGCCGAGAGCACACAATACCTCACAAATTATAATCTGGAGTATCCTGCTTGGCCAACAAAAGCTTCTGAACAAGTGTGACCACTATTCACAGGCAACCTTGTTCTTGTATTTTTAAATTATAATGCCCCACTATAAGAAATTTTCCTTTAGAAGTGATAAGGTCAGTCAATTTAATTAAGCAGTATTTGGTAACACTGCTGATGTTCTGAATAGAAGAATCAGTTGCTCTTGTCCACTCCGGAATAAAAGACAACAATTTGCTCCCAACAGGAAGAAAGCCTATGAAGCACTTCCTAATAGTATCATAACTCAGCTACTTGTAAACCGCTGAATTTATGATTGTATTTATCTGCATTTTATATAAAGTAGTTTTTAGCAAAAACCGTAACAAATATAACCTGTACTTTTTCAAGCCCAAATATACTTCAGGCTGGAATTAGAGTCAGGATAAAAAGACCAAAATGAGAAAAGCGACACAAAAAGCCCGCAATTAACTGTGTTAAAAAAGAAACAACAGTCAAGTTCTCACCAGTTGCAAAACCAGTGCATATTTAGGTCATCTGAACCCTTTCCTCTTCAGGATAAATACATGGGCAGGTCTGCCCTTGTCCATTTTAAAACACGCTGTTGGTTTGTGAAGAGGCAATTAAAGAGAAGGAGCGACAGCCAAAGCCTTACCCATGTATGCTGCCCAGTGGAGAGCTCTTCTGTCCTTCTTGTCAAAAGCATTGATGTTTGCCCCCTTGGCCAAGAGCAAGTTCACCATCTAGAAGTAACAACAGCACATAAGCCAACCCTGTAGATCGCACACTCAACAGTTTATAACAAATCATTCTAGCCATAAAGCCATGATCACAAAATTCTGCTTTTGAATGGTAGATCTGTGAATTACAAAGTAGAAAAACAAGAAGCACGTTTTCTAGCAGACTAACTAGAAAAGCAGACTGGATGGATCTCGCACATTTCTTTGGTCTGAAATGAATCCACCACTCTTCTCTCCTTTCCATTCTGGCACTCCATTTTCCCAGGCAGTCACGCTCAAAAGAGCCAAGGACACACTTGAGCTGCTGGAGCAGGTGGCAGAGCTCTCCGGGTCCGCAGGCACACCCCAACCACGTACTGGCTCTGCATGGGGACTTTCCAGCCACTGCCTCACTTCTGCAGGTAGGAAACGTGTCACAGGGTGGAAAGCAGCTGAATGACAGGAATCGTGGGGGTCAGGGGTACAGGGCTCAGTCTAGACCCAGCCACAGCAGGTCAGTCAAATGAATTGGGAAAACAATTAAATCAACAATCCATTGCGGTCTTTAAGCACCTCACCTCGATGTGGCCATTCAGAGCCGCGTGGTGCAACGCCGTCCGCCCACCTCGGTCGGAGACATTGACGCTGCTCAGCATGGGGATGATGACTTCGGCGCACTTCACCGCCTTGTTGGCAGCCGCCACGTGCAAAGGTGTCTGCCAGTTCTTGTCCCGAGCATTGACGTCGGCCGAGTGCTTAATCAATACTTGCACTGCTTCCTGCAACGGCAACACAGTCATAGCCAAGCACTTCAGAGAAATACGTGGGGCCGACCTTCTCGATCACGTCACCTATGCGCGTCACTTACGCAAACCAGACGTGGCCAGAAGGCAGAAAAGAGAATGACATTTAGCAAAAGAACCTCCTGGGCTAGTGAAATGGTATTGCTGATTCAAAGGCCAGAGTAGACATCATCTCTGCCGTGGTTTGGAGCAGTGTCCTCACAATCAAAATTTCCCGGTTGGATTTTCAGATGTATGAAGCTGCCTAGGCAGAGAGCCCAGCCTGTTTGGTTAACTAACCTTCAGTACGTCAGTCATCTTAGCTGCGCTCTCATTTGAAGAAATGAATGAACTTATTTGAGCTCACTGTTACAGAAATCATTTACAAAATGAAAACCAAGTCATTTTGTACAGTAGTATCATAGCAAATCGCTGTTAAGTACTACTTATAAACAGGAAAAAGGAAAAAATGAAAAATAATATGTAAAAACAAGATTTTAGCTTTGGAAAAACATAAGGATCACAGGCAAGGGTTGATGCTGGTGTCCCCAAGTTAGCATCAGCATTCCTTCCCTCCCCAAGGGCTAAGCATAGGCCAAGTGTCTTCACTGCAACATCCATTCTGTCAGCCTGGGACCAAACAACATCTTTTAAGGTTAATTTTGCTGGTTAGAAGCAAATATTTCCCAGCAAGAAAATGTACTGTTCTCTCCTGAGAGACCATCTCACTGGAGAGTTCACAGTCAGCTCTTTCCTACATCTACTCGTGCATCTGCCGTTAAGAAAGTCAGATGAAAAAGAAGATGAAAAAGAAAGTCAGATGAAAAGCCTCTCTCAAAGTTTCGTTTTCTCTCCTCTTCCTTTTTTTCCCCCACGAGCAAACAAAATCCAAAGGAACCACATGCAGCGTGCAAGTAGCCTTGTCTGCTAATTACAACCCACAGCTGGCAAGTGGGAGAGCCCTAGTCCTACATAATACCTTATGCTTTTTCCATAAACTGAAAAATTCCCTCGTAAGCCCAGCCAAAATTTTCTTAAAGAATAACAAACACGCACACAGTGTGTTTAAGCAGCACTTTTGTACGTAGAGTGGCCCAGGAGGGTGCCTGTACCGACAGTACATCCATTACCGGGAGGTTTGGTACTTTGTCCTCAACCAGTCTCAGCAAGTTCATTTTCTGCAGCCACCTCACAAAGTGTCCTCTGACGGATCTGTTCAGTTAGTGACATCGCATCTCTTCCAGCACCCGAATGATGTATCACTCTCGACGTCTCAACAGGATTTGGGGTTGGTTTGGGTTTTGTTTTTTTTTTTAATTACAGGCCTACTCTTTTAAAAGTCATTTAAATGTAATTCACTGGAGACCTACCCAGCTGGGACATGAAGTCAGCAAAAACTTTGACACTTAATGAAGGAACAAAAAAGTTAAGGGAGAATTTTTGGAAGTAAATAGTAAGGGCTGAAATATCTGAGCTAAAAAATATTCAGACTTTTTAAAAAACATTTACACATTTTTGTTTACATCTGCAAATACGCTGCTCTATCAGATTTTGGATTAAAATGTTAAAATCCTTATGGAGAAGTTTTAATTTTATTGTTTTTGAGAGCATGAGCTATCCCTTTTTACTAGCATAATTTCTACATGTGCATGCAGTCCTCAGCTATGGTGTAAGCCGCTGCAGTCAGTGTCTCTAAATATCCCAAGCTATCAGAGAGAAATCTCTTCACTTTATAAAACCCTGAAAGCTGATACATCCATTAACAATGCTGCACAGACACACCTGAGGGCTGCTGACTTGTAAATAAACATTTAAATCCCTAAAGCCCACTTGAATCATCATTAAGACTGAAGTATAAATGTGTTTGTGCTTTTAAGCGATCTATAAAAAGGTGCAAGGAAACGGCTTCTGAACCCTGTGAAAGCTTCATAGTGAAAGACTAATAATAAAACTTGTGGGTTACCGTTTTAAAAGCAACTGTGCTCACTGGAACTTCAAAAACCACACCGAGTCCTACAGGTCAACTTCTGGACCATGAATTTGTCGTCTGCTACCGTGTGAACTGCGAATTCACCTACTGCTACAACCGGTTTTGTCTATTATATTGAACATTCATTAGCTTGCGTATTAAAGTAAAAGCAGCACTGAAAGAGCCTCAAAACACTGAATCTTGTTTGAAAATCATTACTGAAAGTAGCTATTACCATTAAAAAAAAAAAAAAACAAAGAAAAAAGGCCGGGAGAAGAAAATTATGTGTGTTTATAAAATATATGATGAAAAGACCATGAAAAGGCATCAAAGGCTGGTGCCTTCCCCTGCTGCCTCACTGCAGCACCTGGATCCTCACTTTGAGGTACCAGAAGCACCGGCGTGATGGGAGATTTTTCATTGTGCAAGTGGCCTTCAGCTGACAAAGATTTAAAGACGAGACACAAACCCACAGAAAGACATACATTTTCTGTTAGGGCTGGCACGGACAATAAAAATCACGTACTTTAACACATCAGAAAAAAAAAAAAAGAAACGAAGCACGCAGCGATTCCCACGTCAGAAAGATTGTGACTGTTTTTCAAGGTTTAAGCCTGACCTTTGTTTTCCAACATGGCTTTTTGTGTTTTTCCTCATTACAGCATTCATGCTCTATCAGATATTCCTTTCAGAGGGTTTCAGAGGATGCCAGCAGCTGGGAAGCTCCGCCAGCAGCCGAACAATGCCTGAGTTCAGAAGCGAGCCCAGGATTCCTGCCTCCAGGCTTGGCAAGCACTGGGACTGTTATGGAGGTGATTCGAGTCCATCAGTCTCTGGAAGACAGCCACCCTCTGTCTCTTTTACAAGCCCTCCCCTCATCCCCAGCAGCCAGTTCGGTCTGCAGTCGGGCTCACTGTTAACTAAGTATTAGCAGGGTAAAAGTATACAGAGAGGTCCAAAATGGAAAGCCAAGAATAACGGTGCAGTGGACAACACGGTCAGCCTGAGCTCCGCTCCTGACAATTATTGCTGCTCCTTTTTGAGGTAGCAATGGAAGAAGTACAATGTGATGCCAGGAGATTTCTAGCTGTCAGGTAGAACTACGGGCTACCCCTCCTTTTTTGCATGAATCAAATGCATTAACAGAAAACCTAGCGGATGCCTTGAAATGCAATTAACCAAAACAAACTACGAAGTAATACGTGCTGGACCACATACGCATCCACTCCCTTCTGGCACACGCACAGCATGCGCACATCCATCTGGATTTACTCCTCTTTATTTCCCATTTGACTACAATGTGGCTGCTGCAGACCGCTCCAGTCTTGATGACCCACTCCAGCTGATGGTTGCTCAGTCTGACTTGCGACGGGAACATAAAGCATTCCACGCCGTGACAATCAACCCTGTTACGGCTTGGAAGCACCTACAACTAATGTCCTGGGTTTGAGCTAAAACCCAG